AGTGTATTTAGATTGTGTAAGTTAGGGATTAGAGAGATGACTTAGTATTTATGAGCACTGGCTGTTCTTTTGGAGGAACAAAGTTCTGTTCCCAGCACCTCCGTCAGGCGTCTCATAGCTGCCTGTCACTACAGCTCCAATGCCTCTGTCCTCCATGGACACCTAAACGCGTGTGTATACAAACACAGAAACACACACACATATGCATACACACACACACACACGCATACACACACACACACACACACACACACTAAAACTTAAAATCTTGCTGGATATTTACCATGCCCTGCAATTTTTTTTTTAAAGTGTTTTATTTAGCCAGATATGGTGGTGCATGCCTTTAATCCCAGCACTCAGGAGGCAGAGGCAGGTAGATCTCTTGTGAGTTCAAGTCCAGCCTGGTCTACATAATGATTTCCAGGCTAGCTGGGGCTACAGAGACACCCCATCTCAAAAATAAAAACCAAAAAAATTCTATTTTTTTAAAATTTTATGTGTATGGTATATTGCTTGCATGTAAGTACGTGCACTGTTGTCCTGCAATGCCCATCGGATCCCCAGGAAATGGAGTTAAGGATGATTGTTAGCTGCCATTTGGATGCTGGGAATTGAACCCAGGTCCTCTGCAAGAGCAGTCAATGCTCCTAACCACTGAGCAATCTCGCAAGCCCCTATTTCTGTATTTTTGGCATTTTGTTTGTTTGATTTTTTTTTTGAAACAGTGTGTCAGTGTATAGAACAAACTGACCTCAAACTCACTATGTTAGAAACACTTTTGTCTTAGTGTCTCAAACTGCTGGATTATAGATGTGTGCCATCATACCTGTTGAATTATATAATGACTGTGGTGCTGGACATGAAACTCAGGGCCTCATGCATGCTAGACAAATGCTTAACCTACTGAGCCTCTTACTGGTGGATAGTAAGCAGATATTCTACCCCTGAGCCTTGCCCCAGGTCCTCACTAGGGGATTCTAGGCAGGTGCTCTACCGCTCAGCCACACCCGCAGCCCCTCAATGGGGGATTCCAGGCAGGGGCTCTACCACTGAGCCATACCCCCAGCCCCTCACTGGGGGATTTTATCCACACCTCCAAATCACTGAAATACATGCCTGGCCCTTTTATACTATTATTTTGAGATAGTGTCTCACTCAGCAATCTAGGCTCATCTTGAACCCAGTCTTCCTGCTACAGATCCCAGGTGTGCATCACCAACCTGGCTTCTTTGCTTTGCTCATGAGTCCCCTCAGGAGATTTATATTTAGATTATTGGGGTTGATTTGGTTGAGGCTGACTGGAGGCTCAGTGGCTTGCTGCCGTGGCTTACCTGTGTCCTCACCCCTACCCCATCCTGCCAGAGGACATATCTGTGGTATTCAGCACGGCCTCCTGGGAAGGCAGAGCCGACTTCTCCCAAGCTGATGTGCACCGACAGATTGCCATTGTGTTCAAGACGCCACCCTATGAGGACCTGGAGATCTCAGAGCCTGTGACAGTCAATGTCTTCTTGCAGAGGCTCACAGATGGAGTCTGCAGCGAGCCACTGCCCTTCACCTATCTGCCTCGGGATCATGGTAACCATGGCAATCCAAGGCTGCCCACCACTCTGGAGACCAGGTCTTTGGTTTTGCTTGAGGAAAGGCATAAATGGGCAAGAGTCAGCAGTAGAAAGCAGGGCTGTGGGAATTGACTCATCAATCCCCAGCACCCAGGTAGAAAGCCAGGCTGATGGTACATGCATATAATCCTAACAGCAGGGAGATTGAAATGTGGGTTTGTAGCATTTGTTGGCTAGCCAGTCCAGCTTAAGCAAAAAGCCGTAGGCTGGCCAGTAAGCCCTATGCCAGTAAGAGACCTTGTCTAAAAAACAGGCTGGAGATACGGTTCAGCAGTTAAACACTGGCTGCTCTTGCAGAGGACCTGGGTTTGGTTCTCAGCACCTACATGGCAGCTAGTAATCTTCTGTAATTCCAGTTCCAGGGGATCTGACTCCCTCTTCTGATCTCCTCAGACACTGCAAGGCATAGGTGCACTTACGTACAGCAGGCAAAATGTTCATACACATAAAGTGAAAATAATAAATGAAATATTAAAAAAAATAAAAACTAAAAATCAGGAGATAAAAGCAGGTGGGTCTGTGAGTTCCAGGCCACCCTGGTCTACATAGTGAGCTCCAGACCAGCCAGGGCTACACAGGCAGATTCTGTCTCAAGAGAAAATAAAATAAGCCAGGCATGGTGATGCTCACCTTTAATCCCAGCACTCAGGAAGCAAAGGCAGGTGGATCTCTGGGAGTCTGAGGCCAGCCTATTATGCATAGCAAGTTCCAGGCCAGCTGGGGCTATAGAATGAGACTCTGTCTCAAAGAAAGAAACCCAAACAACAACAACCGAGATAGATAGCAAGTGAGGAAAGACCCCTGAGATTGAGCTCTCTCCTCCATGTGCATGTACACTGTTGCATATGCACCAGCACAAACAGCACACACAGCACATACAAAGCAGCTGAGTAGCCAGTGCAAAGGTCCTGAGGCAGAAAGGTACCTGTAAAGTGTATTGAGCTTATTCTGATTAGATATAGAAGTCTATTTGCATAAATTGGTCAAGACCTGGTCCATCCAGCTGGGTGTGGTGGCACACACCTTTAATACCAGCTCTCTCTCGAAGCCTAGGCAGGTAGATCTCTGTGAGTTCAAGGCCAGCTGGGGCTACAGGGAGACCCTGTCTCAAAAAAAAAAAGTCCATACCCATTATAATAAACAATGTGATTAGTCATCAGTGACTGTGGCTGATGGATGACATTTTGTATGCCTCTCTTCTCTCCTGAACAGACAGCTATGGTGTGGACAAGAAGCGGAAACGGGGTCTTCCAGATGTCCTGGGCGAGCTGAGCAGCGCTGGTGTGTCCCCACATCCCTGAGAGGAGACAGGTGACCTACTTGGGGTGGGAGGGTTAGTGGGGTTGAGGCCTCCTCATCTTCCCTTCCCTCAGATCCACACGGCATCGAGAGCAAACGGAGGAAGAAGAAGCCAGTCTTCTTGGACCACTTCCTGCCTGGCCACAGCTCAGGTGAGTTCAGCTCCGGAAAAGCCTCTTCCTCCCTACTTGGGCAGACAGTGAACTCCAGCCCTGTTTCTCTGGATTCTTCACACCCTTGAAAAGCTTTCTCAAGGCCAGCGGGCTCCTGCAGAGTCAGCAACACAGAGGAGTGTGAGTAAGGGTTCTAGGAGCCAGGACGTGACTACCTCTGTGACCCCAGCACTCAGAAGACATGAGAATTGCCAAGAGTTTGAGGTCAACCTAGGCTACATAGAGTTCCAGGATAGACTGGGCCATATTGAGAGACTATGTCTTAAACATTCCTGTCACAAAAAAAAAAGACTTAGAAGGACTTTGAAGACAGAGCAGAGGCCAAGGTCTTTTCAGGGCACACATTTGCTATGTGACTTTTGCCACATTGTCTCATGTCCCTGAATCTCAGGGCTCCTTGGGAAAGTCTCTGTCTCTGTCTCTGTATCTCTCTTTGGTTTTTTGAGACAAGGTCTCCCAGTAGCCCCATCTGACCTGGAACTTGTAGACCAGGCTAGCCTTGAACTCACAGAGATCTGCCTGCCTCTTCCTCCTGAGTGCTGGGAGTAAAGGCATGTACCACCATGCCTGGCTCAGCTCAGATTTTTTTTTTTTTATCTTTTTGAGACAGGGTCTCCCTGTAGCCCCAGCTGTCCTGGAACTCACTATGTAGACCAGGCTGGCCTTGAACTCACAGAGATCCGCCTGCCCCTGCCTCCCAAGTGCTGGGATTAAAGGCGTGCACCACCACGCCTGGCTACAACAATTTTTTTTCTTACTGCTTTTGCTTTGCTTATTAAAGAATGGTAGGGCTGGGGATATGGCTCAGGACGTAGACACACCTGAGCATGCACTAAGCCTTGGGCTCCATCCCTAGCACCATCCCAGCACCCACATGGCAGCTAACAACTGTCCATAACTCCAGTCCCAGGGGATCCAACAGCTTCTTCTGACCTCTGCGGGCACTGCACAACATGGGTGCACTTACCTACATGCAGGCAATACACTGATACACATAAAATAAAAATAATTAAAAAATAAAATAAAATCAGGTGTGGTAGCACACACCTATATTCCCAGCTCTTTGGAGGTAGAGGCATTAGGAGTTCCATGGCAGCTAACACTCTGTAACTCCAGTTCCAGAGGATTGGCTGCCCTCTTCAGATCTCCTCGGGAATTGCATGACATGGGTGCACTTACATACACTCAGGCAATACTATCACACATAAAATAAATAAAAATAAAAAATATTTTATTAAAAAAAAAGCCCTTACTCGGCATGGTGGTGCATGCCTTTAATCCCAGCACTCAGGAGGCAGTCATGTGGATCTCTGTGAGTTCAAGGCCAGCTGGGGCTACAGGGAGACCCTGTCTCAAAAAGCCAAAAAAATAAAGAGCCCAGTGGGATAGATAGCTCAGTAGGTAAAGGTGCTAGCCCTCAAGCCTGAGAACCTGAGTTCTATTCCATCCCCAAATTCCACTTTAAAGGTTTCACGAGAGAACAACACCTCAAAGTTGACCTCTGACTTGCACACATGCGTTGTGGCACATGTGGCCCTCACTCCACAAATAATAAATAAAAAGTTGTAAAAAGTAAGAGGAGAACCGTGGTAGGCCTTACTCAGGTTAGGATTCAAGGTCAACCCCATAATGCATTTAGCTCAATGCTAGTCCTAAATCCAGCCATTCTCTCCTTACCAGGCCTGTTCCTCCCACCATCAGCCCTGCAGCCTGCAGACACTGACTTCTTCCCTGGCACCGTGTCCCTTCCGAACCTGGAGCCCCCTGTGGGGCCAGACCTGCTAGACGACGGCTTTGCCTATGACCCCTCTGCCCCCACCCTCTTCACCATGTTGGACCTGCTGCCCCCAGCACCACCCCCTGCCAGCGCTGTGGTGGGCAGTGGGGGTGCAGGGGTCTCGGTTGTGGAATCTCCTGGCCCAGAGCCTCTGTCGCTGGACTCTTATTCGACCCCGGGCCCTGGGGATGTCGGCACCGCCAGCCTCGTGGGCAGCAACATGTTCCCCAACCAGTACCGAGAGGCGGCCTTTGGTGGCCTCCTGTCTCCAGGGCCGGAAGCCACGTAGCCTCCAAGGCGCTGGGTCAGAAATGGGGTGCAATTTCGACCAGGAGGTGCAGCACCCCATACCCGGGGCCACCCTTGATCAGTCTTCCGGCTCCCTCATTCTAAATCGGACGTCTGCAGTGCTGTCGAGAAGCTGGGGGGCACAGGTCCTTCTGGATCCCATTTTACAGATGAGACTGCAGTCGGAAGAGGAAAAGGGGGCCCCTGCACTTGGGCCCCTTCTCGGGACAGATTCTGAAAGATTGTACATATGGGAGGAGGGAACATATCCCCAGCCCTCTTCCCGAGTTCTGAAGGTGGGGGTAAGTTGTTTGTGCAGAGTTTTCCCAATAAAGATGAGTTTTTTTGAGCTTTGGGGGAGTTGTGTCTTCTCTGGGTTTTGTTTTGTTTTTAGACGGGGTCTTCCAGGAACTCGCTATGTAGACCAGGCTGGCCTCAAACTTATAGAGATCCGCCTACCTCTGCCTCCCGAATGCTGGGATTAAAGGTGTGCACCACCATACTCTAATTTTAGTTTGGACCAAAAGAATTACTGCTGGACAACAGGACCTCTCCTGGCCCACACGTCATGCTAACCTCTAGACCCCGCCCACCCCCAGGCTCTACTCTGAGCCAGCCCGTAGGGATAGGCTACGCCCCCACCACAGGGTCCCGCCCCCAAGCCGCCTGCAGACCCAGACCGCTCCCCGTTTCCCTAGGCCCCGCCCTGGCGCCTGCGGAAATGCGTTTCGCGACGCTCCGCCGCTCTCCTCACGCACTCTCTCACTTCCGCTTCCGGTGCGGGTGCGCGCGCGCGCGAGCGCAGCAGTGCAGGTGGTGACTAGCCGGTGAGTGCAAGCGTCGGCCCAGATCTCCTGGCTTCCGAGCGGCGGTCGCCCGACGTCTCCCGCGTCCTAGGCGCTTTCGGGGCCGCCGTGGGTGTCTGCCTGGTCACGAGGGCCGCCGGGCCGCCCGCTCCCCCTTCCGTGCTGACAGGCCTCAGGCCGCGCCCCTCTTAGGGCCCAGGTTCGCGCTGCGGGCCCCGGCTGGGACTCGGGTTCCCCAGCGCAGTCCCAAACGCAGCTCCGCCCACCCTACGGCTAACGCTCTGCGGGATTTAACCTGCACGCCTTCCCGGCTTCCCAGCCCTCTCTAGACCGCAGGCGTCCGCAGCGCTCCCTCTTACATCTCCATCTTCCCTCCCCGCCCTCCTCCGGGACTCACCCCCCACCTCCATCCCTCTTCTCTGCTCCGGGGCAACTCGCCCTTCCTCCACCCTGCATTCTTCCCTTCTGCATCCCGGTACTTGGCACCCGCGGGGGAACCTTTGTGGGGCTCTTCACCTGAGCTCGCGCTGGCTGCTTAATAGCCACCTCAGAGAATACTTCCGTTCCAAAAATCAGTCTCTCTCTGCCTCTGTCTCTCTTATTTTGAGACGGGATTCC